TACACCGACTGATAACCTCACTTCTGAACAATGACATCACTTGAACACTTGAAACTAATGAAATAGTGTATCGGGCTCTGGCAGAAGACGTGCGACGTAATAATATAAGTGTGTAATAATATTAGTTAGCTTCTACAGAGAATTGAACTCTTATATTATATTAAATCATAAATCTGTTCTCAAGTAGTTAGAGTTGGAAGTTGGTATTGGTAACTAGGGAAATTTCGTTCCCGAGACTGGCTGAACTGAACGGAATCGACCAATGGCATTGAACCACTATACCGGATTTTTCTAAAATTCAAAAAAATCGTAGCTAAAATTTTGAAAGTTATTTGCCGATGCTGAATTATCCGAGCATTGAAACCCTATTAAATGTGGTAGAAATGAAATCCTCATATCTTCAAGCATGATCCTTTGTAGGTTTCATTAGAATCTGTGGCCGCGTAAGCAAGAAATCTGTTGCGAAAGGTGAGCATGTCGGTTTCCCGCTACTAGACGGCCCATGTTACAAAAAATATTTGTCATTTTGGGCCTTTAAGTGCTTATAACTTTTTGAAAACTCAATGGATCTTAATGAAACTCTTCCACTTTGTAGTCCTAATTGAGATGCGTCCGTAGACACCAAGATCGTAGGAATCCGTGCCGTCGTTTGGGCTGCAGTCGAGTTCCAACCGAATCAATTTTCAGAATAAGGGAGTTACGTGTGTCTATGGTTGGCTGCCACCTTTTTTCGTTTGGAGGCCTTCCAGTGTTGTCGAGTTTAGACTTTGTCCGGAGGTGGCTACCGCCACCCATGATGTCAAGTAAAATTTATTGACATTAATTTAATGTTTCTCCTGTCTTCAACACTACTATCGGGAAAACGCAAGATAAAGACAAAGAAATCTAAAAAAAATCGATTCAAACTCATCGATATTTTTCGTAGTTCTAAGCAACTTCTGTCATCACAGCTTGCGTTTGGTTGATTTAAGGACCGCCGTAAATAAAGTGAACGTTAATCTGACTCTATGAGAGAGTTTAAGCACAACTCATATGCTACTTGAGACAACGAGACCGAGTTTAACAAGAATGAATTCATCAATTTCAGAAGCTAAGACAGCAATTTTGGCCTCATCCACAATCTTGGATTTCATAATTTAGAAAATTGGACTAAAAATTCGAGTTTCTCGTCGAAAAATACCCGCTTGCACCGAGTTCTACGAAAATCGATGCAATAGGAGCCGAGATAGCATTATAGGCGACATCCTCCATCTTGGATTTTCGAATTTTGAAAATTGGACTGAAAATTCGAGTTTCTCGTCGAAAAATACCACAGGCACCGAGTTTAACGAAAATCCATGGAATAGCAGCCGAGATACCATTTTAGGCCATATCCGCCATCTTGGATTTGTAAATTTTGAAAAAGTGATTAAAAATTCGAGTTTCTCGTCGAAAAATACCTCTTTGCACCAAGTTTAACGAAAATCGATGGAATAGGAGCCGAGATAGCATTTTAGGCCATATTCGCCATCTTGGATTAGTGAATTTTGAAAAAGTGACTGAAAATTCGAGTTTCTCGTCTAAAAAGTACCTTTCGATTCCAAGTTTTACAAAAAATAACATATTTAACTTGAATAATTACGAAACGTCTCACTTTCGTGATAATTAATCCAATTTTCGGCACTTCAAGACGATTTTCCTGAAAAATTTGACAATGTAGGAAAAAGGGTGAAAAAGTGACAATGTTGGAAAAAGCAAAGACATCTTTCGGCCGATCTGGCAACCCTTTTCCATCGGAGTTCGGCAGTCTAGCAAGGTGATATCTAATCAGGGAAGTTAAACCATAATACCTTCTGGTTAAATTTTACGCATTTTTTCGGAAATTTGATGGGTCTCAAATTTTGAACCCATCGGCTATGACCAGACAGACTGCCGGATCCTTGCTACACTCGAGTGTCCTGATCTAATAATTTATGTGAAAATTCTTATACTCTGCGGTTCGATAATTCGATGCTGGTTCTTGGACTAAAAGGTGCAGCAATGCTGCAAACCCAAAATCCTGGCATCGAAAAACAGTTATTTTCGTCGACTTTTTCGACTGGTATCACTCTCCCAGCAGATGATTCATATTTTTCTTGGCGTACCTTCATGCCCTTTATAAAGGCTTCCGATAAATTTTAAGGGGCCTTTCGGTTCATTGTTGCCATTTTTGCCCCATTTTTAGGGTTTTTTCAATTTTACACCCGCAGAATTCAATTTAAACTAAGACCTCTATACGTTACTGAAAAGAACGTAAAAAAAAGAATAAATATTGTTCAGTGAAAGTGTTTCCTACGTTGCCAAATTTTTCAGAGAAATTGTTCCAAAGCGCCAAAAATGGCAAAAATTCGATAAATTGCCACGCCTGAGGTTCAAGAAAGTAGGGTACACTTTTTGTATTGACGTGCGTAACAGCTCTTACCCATATATACAACATATCAAAAAATTATAGTTGTACCTGGATTCCCATGATATGAAAATTGACCGGGATGTCGAGTTTAGCAGCCTTTTTTTATTTGAAGATTGCTCTTTTGAATGATTTTCGACCTTAGTCACCCTCTGTAGGTGTGTACTTCATGTGTATTTCTACCTACCTTTCATTTCTGGTCATAAAAATGGCTTCCTATGAATTTTATAAAACTTAACGGTCCATTGTTGCCATTTTTTACCAATTTTTAGAGGTTTTTTCAAGTTTACATTTGTAAAACTTAATTTAATCTAAAAATTGTGTACATTTTTGGAAAGAACGTAAAAAAATACGTACATAACGTATTTCGTAACTTTTTCTCCTTTCCGATTTCTTTATATAGAGTCTCTAACATTTCATCCTTTTCCGCAGGATTTACGTCACTTTTGCTAACAATGAGCAATTCGTGGAGGGGACACCGGCCCCCTCTTCAGGGAAAAGCATTGAGTGGGCAATGAGCATTTTTGGGCAAAGTTTTTTGGTCATGTTTTTTTTTTTCTACAATACTCTACTCTCTTTTTTGTCAGCATGATTCAGTGGCGTGCGGTCCGGATAAGCAAGGCAAGCACTGCTTGCCCAAAGATTTCAAAAGAAAGAAGAAAATTACACCTATTAAATGTTTTATATTTTAGCAAATATAATTAATAAAATGTGTTCAGTAAGTAAATTGCATTAAAAACAGAAAGAGAGGGAGACAGAAATACGTATAGAGCCACCAAAGTAGGAGAGTGGCAGAGCGGATGGAGGTGGCGCAGCGCGCTGCGCGGCCTAAACACGGGCCACATGCGCTGGAGAATCGCTTGCGATCAGCTGAGTGGAGAGCCACTGCTCGGCGGCGGAATCAAGGCAGGCGGGGAGAGCGGTACGTTCCAAGTCCGAGCCCTTCGCTGCGCGATCGCAGCTCGCTTCTCTTGGCCCGTTACCGCAGCGCGCTGCTTCTGCCTCCAATGCGCTATCTTGTTCCCTCTTTCCGTCGTGGTTGTAATTGCTCCTCCGGAGCAAATGCCTTTATATTCTATAAAATTTCGCTCACTTGGATCTAATTGGTGATGAATCAGACAATCCTAAATCATGTTTTAATTGCAGAAAGCTTTTTTTTTTTTTTTTTTTTTTTTTTTGAAATTTAAGTAACTCCAAAAATTCTAAATGCTGTAGAATAAAGACTATAATACCTCAAATAAGTGGCAAAATTAGGAGTTAAGAGTATAAACCCGTCTTCCAATGCTCAATAACATTCGAAACAAGTTGAGTAAACGAAATCATAAATAAGAGAGAAAGAAATAAAACCACAGTTTCTCAAGACGTTCCATCAGATTTCTTCGGAAAAATAGAGCAAATAGAGTAAAATTATAAGAATTTTCTAGGGAGGCTAGGGGGAGGGGGAAGGGAAAGAGGCTACGTTAAACCACACCCCCTCTCCCCCGGATGGCGCACGCTAGAGCTTGCCCTGTCACTGAACCCACCGCACGCCACTGACATGATTCTGCACTTGTAATGCATCACAATACACCGTTGTCACAACTTTGAATCTTGTATATACACACACTCATCAAAGAGGACTTAAGGCGGCAGAAACGCAAAGCAGGCATCCGGGAAAGAATGTGAGCTTTAAAAAAAGGTGACACTTCTGCCAAATCGAGTTCTGGTCACCCAAGCCTGTATTTGCTCAATGAATCTAGGTAAAAATCAAAGTAGAGGATCTGAGGGAAATTGACCGCTCCTGATTTTTTAGCTCACTATTTCTTCATTCTGCCGTCGCGTGGTTTACATTTTAAAAAAATGGTGGGGACTGGGACGGAGATGAGATTTTCCGCTGCATTTTACTTCACCGAGAAATGAAGAGCTTCTGGCTGTGTCTACATGCATGTTCTAAGCCCCCAGAACCACCCTCCTTCAAACAAAACAGTTGACTCTGTGAAAAAGATAGCTGATAAGCCGCAGAGACAGAACAACTAACGATAGTAGAGAATTTCCCATCGATGCTATATGGAGGAGAAGGACTGTAAATACGTGTACTGCTCAGAAACATCAAATTGATTAGTATGTTTAATTCAATAATTGCTTTAATCTTCTTAGGTTGTAGAAGGAAAATTACCGATGAATCATCAAATTGTCTATCAGCTGCAAGATGTATTCAATCTATTACCTGATGTTTCTAAACCCAACTTTGTGGACTCGCTTTATGTTAAAACCAATGATCAAATGCTGGTAAGTATAATGTCATTACTTCTCAATAATGATCCCCCTTCCCCAATAGTTATCATTCATTAGTACACTAGGTATTCACATACGGATTACGTTTTTGCGGAAGTAACGTTTGATTTTCCATTCTCCTGCAGAAACGTAATAACCAGAGATAACTGTGGCTCCAGAAAATACAGTTCCTATCTTTCAGATAAGTTTTCTTCATGAACCCCACATCTCATGTCTGCCAGGTTACTGAAGAGAGCAGTAACTCTCAAATCATTGAAATCGAGTCTTCTTCAAAATTCATCCAATCTATTATAGAGGAACTTACTGACTCAGCTAAAAGAGCAAACTTCGTCATATTTACATAAAAATGGTACTTACATGAAAGCAGTGAGAACACAAAAATTGATTGTGTTTCACGCAAAAGAGTAGTAAAGGAAATTATTCTGTCAAGAGCGGCACTTACTCAGTAAGATTGTGCCCCTTTCTGCCAATTTTTAACCTCAAAATTTGTTTGTTGTGTGTGCAACTCGCAACCTCTAAAACATGCAGAAGATAGCTCTTACAGCTGTCTTGCTTAACGTGAATTGAAAATAAGCAGGGCCCTTTTTATTTAGTTGAAAAATAAATTTGGCATTTTTAATCATGCAAACGATTGCAGAGAAACAGTAATTGACTGATCAATAGTATAATTAATAATTGTACATAATAGCAACTTGATGTTATTTTTTGTTGTTGTTTTAGTTTGTTGCTAACAGACTTAATCTAGGTTTTACTATTTGGAATCAACCATGTTCCATAGGTCAACAGCTGTTATGTATCAATTGTGCAAAAGAATATAAAATAAAAATAAAGCTCTTTGAATGAACATTTTCAAACAGTCATGAAAATGAACATCTGTATTGTGCAGGGGATTCTAAATGTGGTGGTCTCGCTAAATTCTATATTCATATTAGTAGCCAATCTACCATGATGCAACTCAACTTTACCCAAATCTCACAAAATTTTAGCTTGATCTACCCAAGTAGCAGTGATCGCGATAAATAGCGATTTTATAGGTTAGTTATCGCGATTTTTTCGGTGGCAATATATCGAGATATTATCGCTTAAAAAATTGCGATATATGGCGATTAAATTGCTACACATTGCAATTTTTGGTTTGATAAAATCGCGACCAATTTTCGTCGATAAAATTGAGATTAAATTGCCATTTATTATTGCCAGATTTTTATTTCGAAAATATCGCGATAAATTGTTGGGCGATGAAAGCGCGATTTTATCGCGTTATGATCGAGGATAATCGCTTAGATGTTGATGATCCTGGTAATTTTATCGCTAATAAAATCGCAATATGTAGCGATTTTTTCGTTAAGAAATGCAACTTGGGTAAAGCTATGTTTCCAACATCTCAGTAGCCTCAACTCGGATGTGTATTTGAGCAAATGATCACGTACAATTCGTAAGTTTTGTTTTGTTTTCAATTTTAGGTTCTCTACTTGGCATCATTAATTAGGTCAATAATTGCTCTACATAATCTAATTAATAACAAGTTAACAAACAGAGATGCAGAGAAGAAAGAGGGAAAGAAACCGGAAGAAAAGAAGGAAGAACCTGTCAAAGAAGAGAAAAAAGATGTCAAAGCCAAATAAATTTTCTTACGTTTTTCGTATTTTTGAGTTTTGATTTGTTTTGAGACTTGCCTTAGCCACTAAGTTTTCTTGGGTCTCAGCAGTGCATGCAAGTCTACTACACTTGGTACAAGAATCAAGATAATCGTTAATTTTTGTGTACAGTATAAAATAAAAAAGATGTATTTATAATTGTGAGTGATTCTTGGTTAAAATCTGTTTGACGAGCAGTACCCGTTTCCTTTCTCTCAAGAACAACTATGGCATTTCCATGACCATTGTCTGAGGAGCAGTTTCATTCTTTAACCACTTGAAAATCAGTTAAAAAAAATCATTCATAATTCAATATAATGAGAATTCTGTTAATTTAAGTTTCGATGAGACTGAGAACATTCATACTCTAAACATTTCTTTCTAATTGTGAGTGATAACAGCCTCCTAAAGACGGTAATTATCTCTAGCTTCCGGTATCAGGACACCTTAGCAATTATTGTGCCCCATATTCACGTAATTGGAAGATGGAAAGAATGAAAGAGAATTGATAATTCTAATAAAATAAATATTCTAATAAAATAATTAGTTCGATGAATTTTATGAGGAAATAATATCTCAATCAGAGAATGAGATTATTCCACTTTGTGAAGTATTCTTATCCCAACATTTATTCCACCTCTTTGAGTCGTGATTGCATTCATGTCTTAATCTTATGCCGAAGCCTCACCAAAAGTAATAAGTCTGGTGCAAAAAAAACTGCCAAACCGATGTAATTAACCAGCAAAGTCGAGCAAGAACAAACTAGAATTTCTATGGAATCCATAGCATTGGCATTGAAACCATTCTTTACAGAATCCATGTCTCCTTCTGTGGAAATCCATAACCGTCCATACAGATTCGATAAACTTCTATGAATGTTCTAACTAAGCCTCGGATATAGATGGAAGTTCACGGCCTTCCATGAAATCTTATGGATATCTGTCCAGGTCTTGATTCTGATTGTGCACTTTTAGCAGGGCTACAGCACCATTCTACACAGATATATCCGCATTGATCATAATTTATTCCTCAAAATTTTTTAATCACATTCTATTGGTCAAAAAACGTGAATGCAAAACACCTTTTTAATGAAAAACAAAAAATCACTTACATCGTTTCCATAGAATGCAAGTCACTTACACCCAATTGAAATTTTAAGTTTTAGTCTCATTAATTTCGAAATTGAGCGCCCCTTGCCCCCATTTTGCTGTAAAAGTGTTTCTTTTACACCTTGTGTCCATTTTTTACGCAGACCAAAAATGATCCAAGTCCTTGTACAACACGCTTATGTCAGTATAGTTGTTCTTCAAACAAGCTCGTAACTCGTGCGCTTTTTGAAATGTAATTTTTAGTCACGCCTGTTGTGATGACCCTGATTTCGGGTCGATAAGGGTACGTAGCTGGAGCGTCGTGATATCAGCCGACGGGACGTCTCTAAATAGAGAGATCTCGTGCAGACCACCTACACAACACAACAGTGGGTGCTCTTTGGGGGGCAGTGGTTGACCCTCTCAAAAATGAAAGACGTAGTCAACAAAGAGAGAAAGAGTCTGTCTTTCACTGAATTTCGATATATTTTCTGAATTGGCTATTCTATCAGTTGGAAGAACTCGACAAGACTGAGAGGATAGCTAAAAAGGGGAAAAAAGACTAAAAAAAGATGGACGGTGCTGAAAAGCGAACCGGAGTCGTTCGTCTGATTTGTCGGCTCGTCAATGATGCGCATGTGCAGGCCGGAGCCCTGAGCACATGCACAAGACGACCGTGTTGCGAAGACTGACTTTCCTCGAGCGTCGGAGCAAGTGGCCTAGCTCCCTACGCTCGGGTCGGCCGGCGGCGCGCATTTCCCAGCGGACATCAGCGTTTTCCCTAAAGTCGGTGCTCCTCCTGACGTTGCCAATTTCCCCCTCTAATGATGAATTGTCTGGGAAAATTGGGCGTCTCCTCACACTGTTTTGCATAAATGCGTCAAACTCTGCCTTTTTAAAACGAAAGGCGTTCAATAAGTCTCTACACTCCCCCCCCCTTCCCCCTAAGTTGCTATTTCCAACCCAAAAACTTCAATTAATCTTCAACTTTCTTTCCCCGTATTCGCAACTTTCTTACCACTCATTTGCAAAATTTTGCAACTTTCGAACAACCAAATATTGCTGCAAAAATTTGTAATTTTTCCTTTGAAAATTATGGAACACTTGGAAAGTATTTTGCACTTTCCTGAAACTTTTTATTTCCCTCTGTTGCCCCCCCCCCCTCCTCCTCACATTTCGGAGCTGGGCGAAAAGGATTTCAAGGAAAATGGCTCATTCTGGCACCGTATGATTAACAAGGGTTGAAATGGTCCTTTATCGAGGCTGCTTGGAAAAAAAAAGAATTTCCTTTTTTTAAAATTACTTATGAACACCTAAATTAATACAAATTAGGTACTGCCTTAGGGGAGAGAATGAATAGAACTCCATCCAACAAATGATATTGTGGCAGAAGGTAATTGTTTCAAGTGGGTCACCAGGCAAGAAAAGTATGACTTAGGACTCTACTCAATATGTTCGCTCTTCAAAATGTCACGAGGAAAACAAACTACACAACAAGAAGTCTGGAAATCAACTCAACATGACAAAAATATTTACTATTAAAGTTGGTGAAATGGCAAAACGTTATTTGTATGATCTAACCTTCATTTAATGTGTGCTGAAAATACTTGTCAATATCTTGTACATTAGTTGATTTCTAAAGTTCCTGATGTGTAAATCGTTTTTCACCTGAGATTTTGATGAGAAAACGTGAAAAGTTGTTTTTTGATTCATACCTTATCTGGTTGCCCATCATGAACATATTTTTCAATACAAATTTCAGAAAGGTGAAAAAAAAAAAAAAAAAAAAAAAAAAAAAAATCACGTCCCATCGTCCCAAGCTTCATTTTGCTGAAATCAATCAAATTTGCATGCTCTATGAAATGAAAAATACCAATTTTTAAGAAGCGAAAATTTATTGCTCACTTTAAGGAAGGATTCAAAATGAAAAAAGACAGTTTTAAATTTTACAACGTAGATAAGTGGTCAATCAATTTTTGAGTTAACATATTGAGAGAAAAATATATAAATACCTTAAAGTTTGTGCTTTAATGAACTCATTGATTACTGACATGGCCATTGCTGAGGTTTTGAAATGTTTGATCGATAGTTCATTATTGAAAGAGATTAATCATAAGAAAATTTTAGAGTAACATAGCTTAAAAATAATTTTGTAAGAAGGATGAGGTGACTTTTCGATCCTTCGGTTCAAAGAGGTTGTCCCATTCTCCATAGGAAATGGCCGCAAAAGCTATTCCATCCATACTTTCAGTAATCATAACGTATCATCGGAGAAGCCTAAATCCGGTGTCATTTCTCGGCTAGCCCCCCAGGAGGAGGGGGAGCAGGGGGTCAAAGGTCAAACGCTCCGACCGCCATAACTTTTGAACGAATCGTCGCGTCGTATCAACTTGATCTTGGCCTCAAATGAAAGCTCTTGACGAGACCTTTCATTTGATGTATAGTAGTGTGTATTATTGATAATTTTTCAACGTAAAAAAAAATCATTTTTTGATTTTTCAAGCCCAAAAAATTCAGTTTTTCGGGGTTTGCTCTTAATGAGAACGCATGAATCATTACAAAAACCAATTTAAATGAAAGCCCTTGATTCAAGCTTTAAAACGAGCTATCGTTGAACTTGGGGAAATGAATGGTTCAAAAGTTATGACCGCTCAAAGTTGGCGTGGCGCGCTAATTTCGAAGCGCGCGTAGTGTATACTCGCGTGCCACCCCTCCCTACCTTTCCCCCTGGGGCCCGCTTCCGTTGATAACGGATACAGAAAGGTCCAAAGCTTCTTTCACCTAAAGAATGACCAGTCATTAGTGTTAAATTACTTTTATTCCTAACGAAAAAGGGGAAATAAAAATAAATTAAATGCTAATAAACGATAAGACGCTGGTATACATTATTTTTTCGCCCTCCCCTCCATGATTTAATATATAATAGCCAAATCAATCTGCTTTTACCACAAAATACACTCAAAAGCTGTAGATAATATTCATAGGGTTTGGTACGCAAGTAGCCGACCAGCACTTAAAACTCGCATTTACTACTGAATATCTCTCCCTCATCTCTCTCCGATCTATTTCCCTCTCATCAAGATTTACCTGCTTGGGAATAATCAGATACCGTAATGATGAGAGGCTTGATTTGGCTACATCAAATATTAAATCATTGAGGGGGGGGGGCGAAAAAATAATGTATACCAGCGTCTTATCGTTTATTAGCATTTTATTTATTTTTATTTCCCCTTTTTCGTTGGGAATAAAAGTAATTTAACACTAATGACTGGTCATTCTTTAGGTGAAAGAAGCTTTGGACCTTTCTGTATCCGTTATCAATTGAAGCGGGCCTCAGGGAGATAGGTAGGGAGGGGTGGCACGCGAGTATACACTACGCGCGCTTCGAAATTAGCGCGCCACGCCAACTTTGAGCGGTCATAACTTTTGAACCATTCATTTCCCCAAGTTCAACGATAGCTCGTTTTAAAGCTTGAATCAAGGGCTTTCATTTAAATTGGTTTTTGTAATGATTCATGCGTTCTCATTAAGAGCAAACCCCGAAAAACTGAACTACTATACATCAAATGAAAGGTCTCGTCAAGAGCTTTCATTTGAGGCCAAGATCAAGTTGATACGACGCGACGATTCGTTCAAACGTTATGGCGGTCGGAGCGTTTGACCTTTGACCCCCTGCTTCCCCTCCCCCTGGGGGGCTAGACGAGAAATGACACCGGATTTAGGCTTCTCCGATGATATGTTATGATTCCTGAATTTCTATGGAACTTCCTATGGAAAATGGGACAACCTCTTTAGCAGGTACCGTCGCGTCGTGCCGCGAAGCGGCCACATGCTACTAGAAATTATTATATAATGCAATGTGTACGTGATAAATAAACGAGAAATAAATTTTCCCATTTTTCCATAGGTATGTGTTTAATAGTTTGATTTAGGAAATCCATTTTCCTACGCTTCTCAGGACAGGTATTTCATACCAGAAACCAGGAACATTTAACTATCATTTATGAATTGTTTATATAACAACCACATCGTTCATTATATAACAAGATAATTAAAATGGGTATTTTTGACCAAAATCGACCACTTTCGTTAGATAATCATTGTGCCGCACCGTTATGTAATCCCTTATCTTTTCTTTACTTTTTTTAAAAAAAATAAATAGGTAAATAAATTGAAGCCTGCCACTAGGGATGCTGCAACAGTAGATACATATGCAACCATAACTTTATGGTAAGTGCATGGTCGTCTCTTCTACCAAGATTCTTTTGGATGAATGGATCCTATCATTAAATGGACTTTCAGAAGAGCTGCTGGGTAAAAGGGCTAAAGTATTGTTATGCGCCACAGAGTCAAAATTTGAATGTATTTGAATTCTAAGAATAGATACACTACCTGCCGGGATTGAGATCATTCTTGATCTTCTCTACTGAAGCGAGGGACTTTTCATCTTTCTCTTTATTTCAACTATCGTCTGAAAATACTTATGTTTACCTCAAAGTCACATTTTTAAGTAGCTGGCAACCAGACAGAATTATATTCAAAGCAGTAAACATTTCATAGTTCAACGGCTTTTGGAACCAATTGTATGATCTTTAAGTTTTGCAAATTGACAAGTAAGCTGCAAATATGATGGTCACCTCCTGTTAGTAACTCTTCAATTCATAGTGTATGAGACGCACAGCATTAAAATTAGCACAACCCAATCATTATGGCTGCATCTTGAACCAGATCTTTTAAAATTCGGCCCAACATATGGGTCGAGGTTCGAATTATTATAGTTACTGAAATACCAGTTCACGTTTTCTGAGTGCTTGGGGGTCTCTTGAAACTTCGGCTTAAACTTATTGACTCTCGTCGTTATGGCTCTAGGAGGAGAATCGTGAATTTGGTAGCTAGGAAATTTTTGGGGATTGTTCTCCCTTTCGTATGGGGGGTTTTCCCTATCATACGACGGGCTTTTGGCAAGCCGCGGATGGCCATGTAGGTCCTCAGCCTGAGGTGTAGGCCCACTGCGTAGGAGCGATGAATGATTTGTCTTTGGCTGCTCCGCTAGAGGAGTTGGCCGGCTGTGCAAAGAGGGTCGTTGGTTTGACTTAGGATGGCTCAGTGTGTCCTCTGTCTGAAGAGTTTGTCCATTCCTGAAAGGTGGTGATAAATTGACTTTCTGGATGGTTGGCCGACCTGTTGGCTGAAGAGCTGTCTTAGAAACGTTTTTTCTCTGAATGTAGGGAGGTAGTTGTCCACCAGGAGCAAGGAAACCTGTCAGGGAGGATGAACTGGAGGTAGGTTTCTCGCTGATGAATGAATTCCAGAAATTAGTCATCGTTTCTGATGTGGGAGGGGTTGGGGTGAGAGATTGGGAATCAAAGGACAGGGGTCTTATCGAAGAGAAAGATGAGTCAGGGTGACCGAATGAGAAGTCATTCTGAGACTGCAGAGGGGATAATGTACCTGCAAAGTCACAAAAATCAATTCAATCCATCATTACTTAACTCATCACAGTATATAGTCCTCTTAAAATCAGTATTTTTGAAAGTTCGAAACTTTTTAATCTAAATAGCTCAATTTTAGAATTCAATTTCAGGAGAGTGAGGCTAATAAATTACTACCAAATAGAAAGTTGCACGGTATTGTAATTTTGAAAGAAAGGGAATGATCAGGTATTCATCAAACGAAAAAAAATGAGGAGAACAAAGCTGAAAGAGCCGTGCATAAAGTGGCCCGCTTTTGGGCCCTCGAAATCGGGGTCGAAGTGAGGTTATTTTTCATCCTTAGGTGACCCTTTACACATATTTAATTTTCAGATCGAGTATACGCACCGGTTTCGAGTTATGGGGGGTGGCAAAGTCCCCGATTTTCACCCATTTTTGCAGGTGTTTTAATGTCGAACTCCGGCTGTTACGAGGTACCAGATCTAGATATTGAAGCGCGGTTTACGGTGATTTTTTCAGCTATTCCTGTAGTATTTTTACACATCTTTCACAAAGCCCCAAATGGTTTTCTGGGGGCGGGGAGGGGGGGGGGCTTTATTTATACTATCATGACCGTTAGCGTATCTTACTGACTTTACTTTGTTCTCTTCTCTCCACGCCGCGGTTATGATGGTATTTTAAGTTGGGGATTTTTCTTCTTCCTTACATTTTACCAATTTTAATGTGATTCCCCCCCCCCTTTCCCCCTATTTACCTCCTCCCCTGCAATCCAAACAATTCCTCTCAAGTGCCTCTTCCTGTAAGGCAGATATGGCGGGGTCATATGTAGGGGGAATTATTTTTCTTTCTATACGATTGATAAACTTTGACCCAACTTACTTCTCCCCTACAGTGGTAAGAGCCCTCCTTTAGGGTGTTTCTTATTTTTTAAATTTTCGAATTCGAAGAAGGTCCTCGTCTTAAAAGTTGATGTGTGGATACATTAGAAGCCTCGTACAAGGAAAAATATTTCAAACAATTTTTACCCGGTGCTCAAACGACTTAAGTGACACGGGTTGAAATTTGAGATTTTTAGATTCGATAACACTGTTTTCCCATGAAAAACGCCGAGTTACGGTCCTTAGAACGAAAATTTCGGCCGTTAGGTCGTATCTGCAACAAATAAGCCGCAAAACACCCGAGAAAAGCGCGCGCAACGAGAAACACTAGAGCAAGCACTAGGAGGACGCGCGCGCGTCCTCTACACTGCCGAAGCGACATGCCGCACGCACGCACTAAGCTTACGGGGGCCCGAAAGTTCCCGTCCGTTGCTATGTACCTATCATTACGAATTGACCTGTATACACTTTAACATTAAAAAGCAAGCAGTGAACTCCAACACAATGTGTTGATAAGGCGCGTCACTAACTCGCACATATCAACCCCTTTAGTTTTCATTTACAGAGATTTCAAAATAGGCAAGCAGCACAACAAGAGAATTCACGATCCAACACTGCGAGGTCACCGACGCACCTTGACGAGACCGTGTATTGTGAATGTAGAAAGCTATTCGATCGAATTTAAGTTTTTTGATCTGCTTCAAGCAAAATCTTATCAGATTCTTGAAGAAAAGTGCTACGGAATAATTTAAGCGAAGAAAGGAAAAATTCTGTCGAACTCCTAGAAGATAAAGTCGATTTAAAGGAATTTTGGGGCTAAAATACCCAAATCACCGGTAGTATAAATCCCGTTATATTATTGAAAATGAATTGACTCGATATAAATGCAATTACATTAAATATGTCTTGATTTTGTTATTTTAAACGTCTTTCCATGCAAAGAAGTTCAACCATGTCGTTGCTTTATACATTCATGAATTGAAAGTAAGCAATCTACATCCCGAAAATCTACTGATTTGCCGTAAAAAATTGCAGAAACTTGATATACCAGGTCGATGCACCCACTCGTTGAATTTACCAACCGCAATTTCGTGAGTGCAAATGTGTAAAAATCAATATGCTATAGTCATTTTGGGTGCATTTATTTTTCATGAAACAATAATAATTTCAATCCCGAAAAACCATCAATTTTCCGTATAAGATCGAAAAAATCGAAATTTGTCGACTCCCTGACGTAAAAATTAGATTCTACGTGTGTAAATACTTATGTATCGATATGCTGAACAGAAACTATGTGTGGACACAGTCAGAAGCCCGCGGCAACATTAATTCAACAGAAAAACTGTAAAAATTAGAGCGGATTTTACCCGCTTTGCCCGCCTCTCCTCGTTACTTACAACAAACCGTTCTTATACCCATCTCAAAATTTTTCTCAGAGCTTTGGGTTATTATCAGCTTCCATTTAAGCCCCGGTTCGATGGCCAAATCGGCTGCCAAAAAAGCAAGCCACTGTTGAAGGGTTCTATGAGAAATTCGTGATATTATCGGCTCTCAGGAAATCACCCCATGGCTAAAATTGGTGGTATAAATGTTTAAGCGCTTAAAATAATCGTATTCAAGAAACTAAGGAATTAAACTATGGAGTCAATTTCTTTTTAATAATATAACGGGATTTACTAACGGTGATTTAGCTATTATAGCCCCAGAATGCTCTTAAAGCGCCTTTACGTTCCAGAATCTCGACGGATTTTTTTTTTTTTTTTTTTTTTTTTTTTTTTTTTTTNGGGGGGGGGGCTTAAACGATTCAAGAGACACTGTAGTTAAAAATATAAAGATTTTTCCATTTGGACGTATAAAAAATGTTTAACTCGTTCAGGCACACCGTGTATTGTATGGAGTACTGCTGTTATTCGACCCTTCTCTTCAGGTCAAAATTCTTACAAAGAAGCCCCTTGCAAGAGGCGAATTTTTTGTAATTTCTCCCAGTTTTTTCAGCGTTAGGTATATAATTGAATTGCTTGTCAAATTCTGAGGTCATATTTAATTGTAATTTATACATTTCTTTTTATCCCCTTCATTTTATTTTTTGTATCGAGAAGTCGAGGTTTTGTTCATTTCTTCGGATTTCGATTACTGTAACTTCTCTTCTATTTGGCCGATTTTTATAAATGAGGCCTCTTTTTATTCGTGTTTTAACGGAGAGTAAGGAAAAAATTGCTAAATACACGCGAAACAATTTTTTGGGAAAATTGGATGAATCCTAGCGTGACGGTGAAAGGGTTAATTAAGCGTGAGTAATAGGGCGAGGGTCTCCGCCGCGCCCGGACCCAAGTCCATTCTTATACCCGACGAGCGCCGATGAGATGCCGACGCAGTGATCAAGCGCGTGGGGAGGAGAGAGGTAAGTGGATTCCTGTATGAACCATGTTTAGCAAATGGTCTAATGAGTTTGGAGGCTCATCACAGATTGCACTTACGGTTATCCAGAATGGCCGTGGCTATCAGATCAGTGCTACCAAATTTTGAAAAGCATAACAGGGGTGTGGAGATCAGTCAAAGCAACGTTTTGAGCAAAACGGAGTGAGTGAAATTTTCATTCAAGGAGTGCCGAACTGGTCAGCCATCCTCGAATCAGTTCGCTTGATTCTGCTTATATATGCATATTTTAAATCAGCGCTGCGTATTCTTAGGCTTTTTTTAAAAAAACCAAGTAACGTAGACTCTTGGTATTCACTGCACATAAACTAGAGAGCCCCAGAATGAGAAACAACTTTAAATCATAATTATTGACGGATAAATAAACTTTTTACACGCTTTGGAAAATCTCAGAAGTTCGCGGTAGTCACTTTTCGCTAAGGAACTAAGGGACTCGGTTATTGTATCGAGCAGGGTTCGAAACGATCGCAAAGGCGGTATACTACGTATACGCGCCAAAAACAGTTGAAATGTATAAATACATCAAAAAGACAAATTTTCTTTATAACATACTGGCTATATGCCTCTTCCTGTAAGACAGATATGGCGGGNGGGGGGGGGGATTATTTTTCTTTCTTTACGATTGATAAACTTTGACCCAACTTACATCTCCCTTACAGGGGGGGGAGGGGCCTTACCCCGGTATTATCCCTCCCCCCCTGCCCGCTCCACTTTGCTTGAAGTATTATCCTCTCTCCGGAGCAACGATGTTTCTGGCAAATAATTTTTTTTACTTATGTTTAGGTACTTACTGAAATACTGAATACATGGGAGCCACCCTCCTTCTCTTCTCCATTATTCCCACTCTTCTTTCTCCTCTCCTTCCCTCTTGTTCGTCCCTCTTTTGCCTCGTTCTCTTTACTTTTCACTTTTTTTCTACTTTTTACTACTTTTTTATAGGAGTAATATAGTTACGGCATTTTCCATTGATTGAGCTATTCCAGAAATTTAAGAAAATGAATTACAATTTGTTGCGGAATTTATTGTGCCTGCCTTAAATAAACAATGCGTGGGCCTCTTAAGCACGTCTTCATATTTTGCAAAAAGTACCATCTACTCCGAATATGCATTTAAGGTGGACGCATTTGAGGCTAATTTTGAAAAAAGTATTAAAGAAAAAAGAAAATATAAATACTTGGTTCCACCATTCTTAAGAAGCAGTGTTAATAAAGGAAAATAACTGCTTATTCATTTACTTCTCCTTTCAGAATAAAGAATAAAATAAAAGGTAAAAAATAAGTAAAATTAAAACTCAAAAAAATAAAATAATTAACTTTAAAAAAACAAAAATGAAAAAAAAAAAAAAAAAAAAAAAAAAAAAAAAAAAAAAAAAAAAAAA